AGAAATCGGGCCAAAAATTAAGAATCACATGAGGCTCATATTTCCGTTGAATGGCCCCCTTGAAGAAAAAAAAATATTGGAGGCAAAGTTCACAAGAGCGCCTTGATTTTCGCCCCGTCACCCGTGTACGATAAAGAAGGGAAAAATTACTAAAAAAAATTGAACTTGGTCTTCTCTACAGTATTTTTGTCGAAAGGGCGTCATGTGATTCCTAATTTTTGACTCGTTTTTTAATATACCGTAAAAACTCAAATAGTAGCCGGTATGAGTGCAAGCATGTATGAGTAACTTTTTCAGGAACCTTTTTCAGGCTACCTAGTTACTAACTAGTATCTTAAAATCCAGATAATAATTAGGAATCGCATGACACTTATCAGTTGAAAGGTCCCCTTGGGAGAAAAATATATGTGGCAAAGTAGGCGTACAAACTTTGCTACGGCGACTTCCTTTGAAGATATATTTTTGTTTGGGGGGGGGGGAAGCTTGTGCGTCAACCTTGTTTGTCGCCCATGGAAGAAAGGCGAGATAAGATTAACTAAAAAATTGAATTGTACTGCTTATATTTTTCTTCAAGGGGGCCTTCAAAAGGAAAGATAGATAAGTGCCATGCGATTCATAATTTGTAGCTGGATTTATTGATATTGGAGTAGCCAGAAATAGGTTCCATTGAGTGCACAAACTGAATGCAGGTGCCTAGCTGAGGCAAAGGATGCTCAAAAATTAAAAAAGTATTTCCCTTGTTTGGTTATCATGCTTTTATCAAGGTTTCTACTATAAATTTAAATATCTAATTAAGTGGCCATATGGAAATTTAGATTGGTCCGAAAATATTTGTTAATGGCCAAAAGCAGCTTCAGGAATTTTACTCATTTAAATGGGAAAAAAATCCTTTTTAGATGGCCCCAAAATATAGTCCCCGATGAAATGGATAATCAACGGCATGATGGCAAAAGAAATACGCACAATGTTCAACATCGAGAATGATCCGACGCCTGAGGACTTGGAGCAAATTCGCAAGGAGACCGAATGGTGCGAGGAGAAGTATGTAGAAGGAAAATTTCTATTGTTCTTGTTATGTTATCAGTTTCAGATAAAAGAAGGTTTCATGTAAGGTTTCTGAATGCAAAAATTGCAGAAATTGTCTTGAATAAATAAATTTTTAATGTAAATATAAATACAATGTAAAGTTTATATCTGCGATAATTTTCTTAACTTTATTTTATCGCTAAATTGTTAGCTCTGATAATACATTTAGGAAACTTTTCAATATCTTCTGTATAATAAAAAATTCATACAATTGAAAAAAATTAATTTGAAAAAGATGGTATCAGATAATGACCTGATTACTTAAATACTAAATTACCCATAGTCTAACTGTTTTCCAATATTTTAGACACGTACTAATTGTAAAGGTGGGTTTATCCACTGACAACTGCATTATTATTTTAGCGCGTTTTACTAAATTAGAAGGACTTTGCTTTAAATTTCTGCTCTATACCAAAACCAGGCTTAAGTCGCATCCTTAATATTTTCATGCTGGCATTACAATTCTTCATACGGATGTTACAGCGGACCACGAAAATTCTTACCCCGTCCAAAATCCGATGTCTCATCCCAATCCAAATCTCAAATATAAATATCACTGCACAAACGCATATAGAAAAGCTCAACATCAAAAATATGCTAAGAATATTAGAATTCAGTTGCTGTTGTAAAAACCTGTCCTCCCACGTATCCCCACTACCCTCACCGGTGTGCAGGTAAACAAAAAAATTTTCCCAAAACTGGTATAACCCGCTTTCAATGAGTTTTGCAATCTTGACCTTTAATCCGTCGCTGATCGCACCCAATTTCGGGATTAGTATGTACATCCTACTCGAAAAAATGGTGTCAGTACTTTTCAAATATGGTTTCTGATTTAAATACGATTTCTCTCCTCCCAAAATATTAAGTAAATATCTTCTCGACTTGATATAAATGGTCGGTGCGACAAAAGCTGTTTTATTACAGCGGGCGATAATTTCAGAAATTCGAGACAAGTTCAAAACCTGCGATATACTGGCAATCCTACCAAATTCCAAGTTCGCAAATACTGCTTCAACTTGGTTAATAAGATTTCGATTTTTATCCAGGTACGAGGCCCAATTCTTGTGCATTGAACAGAAATATCTTATATTAGGATCCTCGACTTGCGGGCTTGACATATTCATTGTCACGGGGCACAGATGACGTGCCATTAAGTTACTGACCGAGCTCTGAAGTGGTTCTGATAAAGCGTGCAACCACGCCGAAAAGTGAAAATTTATTTCTGCATCGAATTCGCTTTCTGATACCCGCCAATTCGTCAGCGTCTGTGGAATGGTTTCTCTCATGATTATGTAGTTAGGGATAATACTGCTGTATATCTGAAACTTGCCGTTCACCAAGTGATCAAACGTTTTCGGCGGGCTAAATACCAATGGCGCAGTGGTGTCTTCGGTCACGATACTTTTGTAAATATTAACTACCACGAAACTTCCCAACATCCAGAGAGTGATTAATTTCAAGGACGCAGGACTGGGAAACATTGCCATCAATGTGGAACTGGGCTTCTCAACGACGGTGAGTCCAACCTCCAAAGCTGAGTTAAAGGCCACATGACATAACTCGTACCAGGGGAGAGGTTCATATTTCGCGTAATTTTGTCTAAGCAGAACCATCATTAGGAACAGGCAGAAAGCTATTAAGACGTACCAAACGGAGGTGTCGAACGGTTTAACGTAACCCCAATAATCGATCCGACCTTGCGTCATGGATGAACACGTGACAAAAGAGAAAGACCAATTTCCCACGAGTATTGGAAAATTGTCCATAATATCATTATTATTATTAAGTAGGTTATACCATCTGTCTGGTATTCGTGCCTCTATGGTGAACGCGTGCATTTGTTTGGACACATTTCCGCTATCAGCCAAGTAACGCATCGCGTAATTCAGAGCGTCATAAAGGCACGTAGAGTCTTTAAATCTTGCCACGACTCCTAAAAATATTTCCCTTTTGCTTTGATGTTTCCAGATCATCCAGTCCAAATTATCGGTAGACTGAACTAACCTTTGACAGTTTGTGATTAGGTGGTTAAACTCTATGTTTTCAGCCAACCTTGCCTCTTTACAGAAAGCGGTGAAATTACTTGCAACAAGAAGACTGCCGTCTGTGCTTGTTACAAGTGCAAAAAATAAGCTGACTGGATGACGGATGACCATATTGAGTAAATATGAGGATGAATCTTGACGTCGACCCGTATCACCAAAAATTACAACCATGGTGGAGTCAAAGTAGGAAAAGTACCTATTCCGAGGTCTCGTGTCCCAGCTAGTGTTAAAATTGTCTTCCCATTGGAGTGTGTAGATTTCAACGGTTTTATACTCGTGAGATAACCCGGGCTGAATGATTATTATGTATCGTAAGCAAAGATTGTGGTGATGGGTTCGAAAGATAGGATGGATGGGTTGAAAAAGTAGGTTTGCCTGAATAAGGTTTAACCTAGAAAAATAAATTGAGCTGAAAATTTTCGGTTAGGTTAGGTTAGGTTAGGTTAGGTCAAATCCTTGAGAATGTATTCGTTAACTCACACATTTTCCTTATTCAAAGGAATATATTTGCTTAGTTGGTACGGCATTTGAATATTCGGGGGTACGTGAAAATTTCCAAAGTAAGAAATGCTCAAGTAACAAGATGAAGAAACTGATTGCACTTTATCCTCGAAATTTGAAATTTCGTAAAAAGTTTGAGGCATACAGGCCTGGGTGATATAAAGGTGTACAATAACAATTATTTTACATCGGATAGTTTCCATTTCTAGAGGTATGTAGATAACCATATAACAATAGACCAAGTTTCACAGCTAATGCGTTAAGAGGAGCAGATAGTCTCATGCAAGACTAGGAACTGAGTATTGAGCGAAAGCTGGCCATGCATACATTAGCGATTAATTTTTTTAATACGTAAGTAGCACTGATTAAATATTAAAACTTCGACTAAGTAAGTCGGCCTGAATATGGCTTTTATATACCTATATTAATGAACACACGATACTTGAAATTTTTAATGTGGCACTTCATTCTATCCTAATAAATTTAGGAAGCGTCAAGTAGAGGTAAGAGGTTTTTAGTAAATGAAGAAAAACCTGTAGGTAAACAGTTAAACATCTTCGACATTTGACAAGGGTCATGCCATGTTGAGTGTGACTAAAAAAATGAGGAATGTTTCATAATTTATTAGCACAAGGGCTACCACGAAGGGTTTCAGACAAGGAAACGTGTACACCTATGTATAGATGTCAGGTGTCGTATTTAGAAGATAATTTGGACCGTTCTAGCATTATATATAGTAGGAATGATCTTCTAAGGGTAATAAATTGCGTCACGTGTCGGTAATGTTTTTCGTAACAGAGGTGATAATTGTATCCCAAAATTATTGAGTGTGTGCTGTGCAGAAATCTCACAGGACCTTGAAGACAAATGAATTGCAAATCCTTACAAAATAGTTTTGTGACATTGTTCCTACGCTTCTGCAACAACTGAATGCGATCAGTGTATCGTTTTTCACCGATATTTATTTATTTGAGTCCCATGCCTTATTCTTATGTACATGAGCTCCCTGAAATCCCGTAGAAGTTCTTTGATAGACACAATACTGTGTAAATAATTTAGTCCAACTCTCAAATTTGTTCCTATTAACGCTTAGGTTTAGCTAATTAATTAACAAGTGATTTATAATTGAATGATTTGGTCTTCACATAGCATTAACAAATTTCTCATATCAATAACCTATTAGGGATTCAATTTCGAAAACATTTCGTTAACACTATGTTGACCAAATTTGGCAAATGATATGTTTCAAATGGCTCCAATGATAAATATATCACAATTTTCTCAAAGAACGAATGCATAAATATTCTAGGGGAAACTATGTGCTAAAAAGCCATTTTTTTCAAATATTGCAGTTCAGTAACGTTACTGTGACGCTAATTCCACAAAAAATTTATTAATAAAATAACGAAATTTTTTTAATCCTCAACCCACAAAGTTTCCATGACCTGTTCCAATAATTGGTTTTCTCCCAAGCTTTCAATTTCCTTCTCAATCCCGACCCTCAACCGGGCCAACTTTTCTTTCGTGTAGCGTAGGGCGCCTGAACTGTTCAAAATGTCGAGCACTTCCAGCTTCACTTTTTCCGAGGTGGACCGCGCCTTGAGAAGTTTGATGAGACGATCCTTCACCTCGTCGGAGACCTTGTTGAGCGCATGAATCACCGGGAAACTGAGCTTGCCTTCGGAAATATCTTCACAAAAGCCTTTCGTGTCGGTATACTCTTGAGAGGTTAGGTTCATGAAGTCGTCCCGTATTTGAAAGTAGACTCCCGCCATGTACGCCAAGTTGGTCAGGTCAACGTCGGGTTTTCCCTTGTGCTTTCGAAGGCGCATGATCCTTGCGAGGAGGATGAATTGTCCAGAGGTTTCTGGTAATTATTAGGTATGCTAATTCTAAATATGGAATTAAACATTTTTTTAAGAAGCTGCTTTATGGGATATGTAGTTATGTCGGTCCGTTTGTCTGTCTGTCCGTTCGCCTGTAAGCCCGACATCCACAAGTGGCTCACAGGTCACCAAAGGTCAAGGTTTTATCCTGGCCAAGGTCAAGGTTTGATCCTGGCCAAGGTCAAGGTTTGATCCTTGCCAAGGTCAAGGTTTGATCCTGGCCAAGGTCAAGGTTTGATCCTGGCCAAGGTCAAGGTTTGATCCTGGCCAAGGTCAAGGTTTGATCCTGGCAAGGTCAAGGTTTGATCCTGGCCAAGGTCAAGGTTTGATCCTGGCCAAGGTCAAGGTTTGATCCTGGCAAGGTCAAGGTTTGATCCTGGCCAAGGTCAAGGTTTGATCCTGGCCAAGGTCAAGGTTTGATCCTGGCCAAGGTCAAGGTTTGATCCTGGCCAAGGTCAAGGTTTGATCCTGGCCAAGGTCAAGGTTTGATCCTGGCCAAGGTCAAGGTTTGATCCTGGCCAAGGTCAAGGTTTGATCCTGGCCAAGGTCAAGGTTTGATCCTGGCCAAGGTCAAGGTTTGATCCTGGCCAAGGTCAAGGTTTGATCCTGGCCAAGGTCAAGGTTTGATCCTGGCCAAGGTCAAGGTTTGATCCTGGCCAAGGTCAAGGTTTGATCCTGGCCAAGGTCAAGGTTTGATCCTGGGCAAGGTCAAGGTTTGATCCTGGGCAAGGTCAAGGTTTGATCCTGGCCAAGGTCAAGGTTTGATCCTGGCAAGGTCAAGGTTTGATCCTGGCCAAGGTCAAGGTTTGATCCTGGCCAAGGTCAAGGTTTGATCCTGGCCAAGGTCAAGGTTTGATCCTGGCCAAGGTCAAGGTTTGATCCTGGCCAAGGTCAAGGTTTGATCCTGGCCAAGGTCAAGGTTTGATCCTGGCCAAGGTCAAGGTTTGATCCTGGCCAAGGTCAAGGTTTGATCCTGGCCTAGGTCAAAGGACAAATTGGATCGTGATTTTGAAACCTGTTGTAAATTTAAAGGGAATTTCAAAACCAACTCAACGCCGTTCACAATTTAGGCTCCGACCAACCCATATGTAGCTACGAGTTTGAGGTCATTGGTTAAAGGATACGGAGAATTGTAACCTTAATTCCAACTTAAATTTCTTATTTATGCTCATTTATTCCAATTACTTTTCGCAATGACTTCAACATACTCGTCTTCCGTGGGAATGTACTTTTTAGGGTCATCGTTCGGCGCAAATATTTCCCAGTCTCGCCAGTACAGCTCCATTCCTTGGCCGTGATGCAGGTTTAGCAATTCTTCGGTGAAAATCTCTACAGCCTGTAACCAGATGAAAGGCAGCATGACCAGTCAAAATTAAAATTAACGACATGATTGCTTGAAATATTTACAAAAGAAATATGGTAATCCTGTCATACAAATCTTCCAATGACAAGAAGCAACTAAATTTGCTACCAGGCTATAAAAAAGTAGCAATGTTACCGCCTCTGGTAACAGCTTACATACTGCCAATTTGACCGTAATAATATAACCATCAACGTGTCGTAATACATAAGTACAGGGTGGTTGAAATGACACGCAACAATGGAAAATTTGTCGATCGGAAAAATTCGTAAATTTCCATTAGTTACCGAAATTTAAAATTCCACATTTTAAGACTTTTGTCATCCGTGTTCTACCAGTTTGGATAATAATTATAAAAATCTCCATCCAAAACCTTGTATGTAACTAATGGAGATTTAGTGGTGTTTGGGATTGAAAAATTTTTCCTTGTTGCATGACTTTTAAACACCCTGTATATAAATATTTACATATATAAATACATACACTATAAACAAAAATAACTGAAATTTACTCAAGATTGGGTGAAAAAACGAGGGTGACACAACCAAAAGGTAGAATTTGTCCAACGTTGTGCAAAATTTACCCAACCGATGTATAAATTTTACCCAACGTTAGACCAATTTTGCCTTTTGGTTGTGTCATCCTCTTTTTTTACCCAACCTTGAGTAAATTTTGGTTATCTTTATTTAGAGTGTACCTTGTCAAGTATTTTTGGTATCCTTACCCTTAAACTATTTCTCTCCAATAGGACTCTCAGTGCATCAAAGTAGGCATAATTGGCCGCATTGATCGAAAGTGGAACCCCGTAGAGCAGATGGGCAGCGGGTTTTCCTCTCCGTAATTCGGAATTATCTTGGATATCGTCTATCACCAAAGATCCGTTGTGGAGGAGGTCAATGAGACGAAAAATCCAGTCCATGTCTGCACCATTTACGGCATACCTGTTCACATTCATTTGTTTAATAGAGATTGAATAAATAAATTATTCATTCAATAAAAAAACTTCATGAATAATGCGTGGCTAATTTTTCAGAATTGTTGAAGGAATGAGTCTTGAATAAATGTTTATTCATTTCATACCTACTCATGAAGAATGAATGAATTATTTTCTTGATTTTTTATTTTTCATTTTATCTATGCCTAATCTACGATACATTGAGAAATATTTGCATATAACGAGGAGAGGTTGAGATAAAATTGTTTTTTTAAGTTGCAATGAATACGTAAATATGTATTCATTAATTTTCTAGTTTTGAATAAATGAATACTGAATTCATATTTGATTTCGAAAATTTAGTTTGGAACGAATTTTGAAGGATGGAATATATTTCTAAACAGGAACTAAATCCTTATGTAAGGCATACCAAAAGTTGAAAGCGATGGCAATATGTCTCCGGAAATTTTTCCCCTTCATTCCCAACACGTAAGTGAATGGGGCCAAATGTTTCGCTTTTTGGATGTCCTCCTGTCTTTTGGATTCTTTTTTCTTCAAGTTGTTTCCGTAAATGGAAAGTTTTTCCATGATGGCTTCCATCTTGGGAAATTTGTAATTTGCGTAATTTTAATTTAGCCTGGCTTCGAGAATGGAACAAATTCCAGCTTTTTTCCCGTATTTATACGGGATTGACAAGATTGAGAGACGAGATTATGCACGTGCACAGTACTTTTTGCTTTTTTTATGGTAAAATGTGTATGTACATGCATGAGAATCTGGCCGGCTTTATTCCTCGCGTAAGCTATATTTATCAATTATGTAATTGACATGCATAACATGATTCTACATAGGTATCTATATACCTATGTATTTACACTCTTAAAAATAATGTTACCATTCTTGAAAAGTAAGCGAATCCTAAATTAACAAAACTACAAAATCCAGACTAAAGTAATAACGTTAACTTGTCAAAGACTGGATTATGGATTATTTTGCAAAGATCTCATGTGCAATTGAAGATTACGTTTACTTATTGGATTAAATTTAATGCACTACCGATTTAAATAAAATTTGCCCCTAATTTTAGCCACCGGATGAAATTCTTCCAACTTTAGATTTTTCAGCCACCGATTTATGCTGATTGTGGTTACCAGAAATTGAGATGAAATGATTATTTACGTAATATTCGAGAGGATGGCATGATTTTTAGGAGTAATTTGTTACGAAATCTCCTTACTTGTCTCTATGCATACATATACATATCTGCGATATGGTCTGATAGGGTAAGTCCATTCATTTATTTATTTCATAAGCCTCGGATTTTAGACACTTTCCCAATCTTATTTACTCAAGATAAGCTTAACACAATTAAATAAGATGAGCAACATAATACCAAGCACCCACCTTTTTGATGACATAACAAATGGACGTTCCCTAGGGCCCGTGTGCTTCTTCAATACCACAAGGGTAAATAATAAAGTATGCATCATGTGAAAACAAGCGAATTAAAATAACAATAGAAAACTGCTGTTCGTAGGGTAGTAATTAATACCTACTGGGAATCACTAATTAGCGATTCCCACGATTCTCCAAAGAAACTAAAATACATATGTCGCAGAATTAGGGGAATCCCCATAAGGAAATTTGGGTGAAAAATATGACGGGGTGTAAATGACGAGATTCAAGTCAGGGTTGCAGAAATCTCATCTCAGTGAGATATAATGAGAAATAGTGAGACATGAGAAATATGATAAATAGTACGATTTGTGAGCCATGCACTAGCGCCACCTAGCGGACGGGGTCATGAACTGCAAGTTTAACTCATTATTTCTCATATTTCTCACTCAGCCCCAACTGAGATGATTGATATAAATCATTAAATTTCACTAAATCTCACTAGGTGATATATACCACTTGCAACCCTGATTCAAGTAAGGGGGTACAAGTGAGCGGGTGCATCTTTCCATATACCTCGCCATAATTAAATACATAAATAACATTGCGTATTTCATGCCAATACGTAAAGATTCACGGGAACATTTAATTAATTTGCTTCTCAAATTTTGGCAACTAGATAATTATCATTCCTTACGACTATTTTTTATACTCCAATTAACGCAGGATTTGGTAACATTGAAAACTACGTTAATTCTACAAACTTGCATATAAACTTTCACAAAATTTTATATTTATTTGGAAGAAAAATTAGCTTACAAATTCTTACAATCTTATCAAGTGCGTCTCTTTATTTTAGAAAAGTTAATAAAATTACGGTGCACATTGGACAGATTTTACGGGTTGTGCATTTTACAAGGATTGTGTAGTGGTGCATTTTATGTACACAGTTTTACACGAATTTCATTGAAGTATCTATCATCAATTAAATTCGATTTTCCAAAATATGAAACCCATGATTGTCAAGAAATCCAACTGTATGAAATAGAAACCCGATTTCCCCGGGGATTGGATACATATGTAATTTGCATACACTTTCTCATACAACCTCATCCCAACTCTGCAATTAGGGGCCGTACATATATTACGCATGTTTTAGGAAATTTTTACCCTTACCCCCCGGTGTAACCTGTATGCCCCATGTTATAATTAACATGGGCAGGATATGACCCGGGTGAAAAATTTAGTGGATTTTATGCACAAATTTGGCTGGTTTTTATGCAAAGAATTGGCTGGATTTTACATATGCAGAAATATTGATGCCGAAACAATTTGTGTACAAAATGTGCAGAATTATGCATAATTATGCAAAACATTTTTGTAGAATACGTGTCAGAAGTTTTATGCAGAATCGTTGATAGTTTTTATGCACACACCATTGGTCCGGGCAGTTGTGTCGGATTATGTCAAATTCGACACACGATTTTCACCTGGGGATGTCGTGATACCTACTCTCCCTCACATGCTTTCTGCACAGTCCCTTATTACGAAGAAGACCCAGATTTACAATCAGTTTCCCACGACGCGTAGCATAGTCATGTGTTTCACAGCGCAAAATGCCTACCCATGGATTTATGTAACTTCCCGTTCCTACTATAATTGAGTTAGATTTATCCAGATATTTTATTAATTGGGACATACAAGCCCCGTGCATTGTACGTATCAATGTACAACTGTGCATGTTACTTAGTAAAGATTGTGGTTCAATATGTATTATTACAACACGTGGTGACGTCAAGGTGAGCAATTTTGCAAATTTCTCAAGCAATTATTGCGTATTTTTCTCCGGATTTACATATTTATATAAAACATGTACATACGTAACTAGCGCGTGACTATTTTACATTTATACATATGTAGGTAACTACTTTCAGGAAAAGTTGCATATTATGTATTCATAAATAATTGCACCAGCTCCTTAATTGCTACATGGCATGTCTCGTTATCTATTTATTCTGCGACGGAGATAAGACCTTCGTGGATAAATTCGTCATTTCCGACACGTGGACAGGAACTTTTTCAAATCTGTAAATGAGCATGTATTTGACCCCACCCATCGGGGAGGGGGGATTGTTAAGTGTTACATACGCGTAATAAATGTGCACAAACAAGAAAAGATTTAGGAGGGGATTTTGTTTATTTTATCAAATTCAATAAAGGTACATGCTTATTTACATATCGTACACAATCATAAGATTTGAATACTTTTTTTGTCATATCACGTGTCTGCCGTGTATACAATTCTCTGCTTGGGTCATGACAACTGAATCACATTCAAATTACGGACAAACAGGCGCAGGATTTATTTTTTGAAGTTGATTCATTTCGTAATTGGTATTGTCCTTTCCTGTGTTGATCACAGATTGGATTTGTGCACCAGAAAAAGGTTCATTTTGATGAGGGATTTCCAATTTTATATTTGGAAAAGAATTACAAATTTTCTGGTAGTTTTAATCCAGCTGGTTTGAATCATGTGATAATTGATTTGGAGGAGGACACATAAATTCTTCTTCCATAGGGTTAACAGGAATTAAGGGTCTGGTCATTAGTTGGTGCTGGTAAAGTTTTCGTAGTCTTTTTAACTCATTGTTTTTCTTTCGTAGTGCTTTCCGCCTCAACGTCCTGGCTGATGGGGTTACATTATTAGGCGGATTAGGGTTAGGAACCATTTTAAATGTGATTACGCACAGGAATATTAAAATATTAAATATTTTCGTATATTATATTAAATAGTAAAACGCTGAATTAATTACTTTCACTAGGAACTTGTTAACTTTAACTGTAATTTAATCTATTAAATATATATGTACATATTAACAATAAATCAGATTTGTTGTGTTGAAAAGTTGTGATTTTTGTGTGGCAACACTGCTGGAAAATTAGAAAGGTTCTAATGATGCGGTATTATAAAAATATATGCAACAAAAAACGAAAAATTCTTGGGTGATGAAAAGTTGTTTAAACTCTTAAAAATAATATATTTAAGTAAACTTAAATTTAGTTAAATTATTTTCAAAAATTCTCCGAAATGTGTATTAATTATTTAAAAAAAAACTTCAATGGGAATGATTTCTCGGTAATAAATTTGGTAATAACGTTTTACTGGGTAGTAAAAATTCGATACTATGATGGGAAAACTTTATTACCAAGCCATTACCACACGGTACAATTTATCATTACCACTTTGGTGTAGTCATATACTTGTGCTTTTCGGTAATGTTTATTACCAGATTATTTACAGTGTACACATGTACATATTAAATGATGTATACATTCATGTACATTCTAAAAAGGTGCATAATAATTAAGCTTTACACGAGTAAGATGTTTGTTTTTGTTTTGGTGTATTTGTTTTTATGTGTACATACATTTTAATAAAGAAAAATATTTTAAAAGCTTACTTTATTTGGCTACAATTTCCATGTAACATCAAATTACTAGTTTTTAATAGCATACCATTATCAGCATGTGGATAGGAGCCAGTTAAGGAGAACAATGTATATATTAAATAAACTGCAGTAAATACATAACAAAAAAGCAAACTTCACTCTTTACCAAGTTCACGTTACTCCGGGTTTTGCAAAGTTTCCTTAATATAAAATTCATACTGTATTTGCTTTACAAAAGTGTTGCGCTACTATAAAAATTCTATAATATTTACTCGTCCTCAGGTACGAACACCTTAACATTTTTCCCTAACCCCTTTCCCTATCCACAGGTGACGAATCTTCAAATTATTTCGACAAATAACAATATGCATATCAAAATATCTTGATCAAATCTAAGCACGTGATGGTGATTTATCTGCAAAATAGTTACGGATTTGTGATATAACTAATGTTAAGTTAAGTATAATTTTACTTCTTTCTGGTTTCCATATAAAAAACATATGAAAATTAAGTGCATTGCATGGGGTTTCATGTTAATACTTGTGGGTCGAATTCAATATACGTTAGGCAATGCTTAGGCAAGACCAATTTGCCTAAGCAAATGTTATTTGTATTCAATATTTGTTGCTTAGGCAAAATTCTAAGCAAGTGCTGAGCAAAATATTTAGGACTTTTTGTATTCAATATGCACAAATTCGTAAATTTTTTGCCTAAAGTTATTCCAGCTCGGAGGTGGAATAACGATTTGCGTAACTGTAATTAAACTCCGAAAAATATTTATTGCGAACATTTTAGACGTAGTTTTGCAGAAATCGACATG